TAAAAAGACAGTATAAGTCATTATAATCCGTAATTATGTCCCCACTGGATGCAACAAATGCCTCGTTTATAATGGGTTTTAATGTTTTTGTCTCGTTGCTCCGGCCGGACAGGGCATCACAGTATGGTGAGGGGCATAACATTTCCGTCACACGATTGAGGTATTCGGCCAATCACAACGCACTGGATAGCTGGCCAATCACAGCACACCTCGCTTTTCAGACCGATGAGCTTTGTAAAAATCAACGCGTTTCAGAAAGGCGGGGCATAGAGGAGAAACAATAATGTACACTATGTGGAAAGTAATGTGTTTTTTTAACCTTAAACCGCATAAACACATTTCATTACACCAAATACACAAAATAATGTTATTTTTAGCAACATCATATGACCCCTTTAAGGCTGTCCTGAAGTTTGTCATTCAACAGATATATGAAGAACAGTTATTTGGCCACAGTTCCAAACATGTTAGAAGCAAAGAACCTCATAGCAACTGTGAATCATGATGGTTGGATGTTGTAGTTTTGGGGGATCTTTCTGGTTCAGAGCCTAACAAACTTCCATCATGATGTCAACAATTACACTGAAGACTGCTTGATGACAACATGATGCTTTCTGTGCAACAGATTAAGCTGAACTAGAAAAGCAACTCCAAAAAGGATTGACTCAGACAAAAGACAAGGAGTTTAGAACAACCAACTCAAAGGTCAGATTTCAATGGACGTAGTGAGGAACATGAATGGGCTCATACATGCTGGAAACCCATCTAATATCACAAGTGAAGGAATTCTGCATGAAGGAATAAGCTAAAAGACAAACATAATGATACTGGCTGCTAAACGTATGGATGTACTTATTTTTTTTCCACACAATAGAGTTGAATTTCTGTAGCTATTTGTTTATTAAAATATTTCATTGAGAAATATTTGTTTTTTTTATGTCACCATTAATACTATTCAAATTGAAGTGTCAGTGTCCACACATGCTGACAAAGGGACACATTTCAAGAGGCTTACTTATTCACAGCACTGTAAGTCAAATTTGTGTTAGTGTGATAAGCTTTTTATATATGGGACGCCAAGCAAAGGCATCTGACTACTGCAAGCAAAAGCAATCCAATGTGCTTATTCACAAGGCAGCAACTGCTTATCAACAGGCATTTTAAGATAATTTAGAAGCACAAGCAGAGAGAAAAACTCCTTCATACCAGTAAAACAATGTGTCCGCACATCAAGGTCATTTTTAAAGGAATACCAGCAACACTTGTCAAAATAATCAGAAAGTGGAACTAAAAAGAATAATGGTTTTATTTGCCAACGTGTTGTTACACAGGCCTTCATCAGGGCTAAAAGATTGCATACAATACAAAAAACTCATTTAAATACAAAGACAATATTCTGTTCTAATGTTGAACTTCTAAACAACATTCTATGTAAAGTAAAGTTCTACTTTCTGGGGTGTACTTTGAACTCTCTGTTGATCAACTGAAATCTTGCTTACTCGAGGTAAGCCGGTTCCAAAACCGCGATGTTCACCACCAGGTGAACAAACTAGACTTTAGGTGCGTCCCAATTCATGTACTTATGCACTATTCTATGCCATTTTGTAGTATAAATAATGCATTCACACTGAAAATTTCAAAAAGAAAAAGTGCATTTTAAATCCCAGGATGATGCACTTAATTACCTGAAAAAACAAAGCGTGGAATGTTGGACACTTCATGCACTCAACTGTTGCAGATTTAATTAGTAGCAGAGGGGGAGGGGATATCAGACTCCAATGATGAATGACAAAATAACCTTATATAATTCATACACTACACAGTTAAGTACATAGTGCATAAGTACATAGTGTATAGTGCATCATTTGGGACACAACTATTCTCAATAGAGTGCCAATATCCACAAGTCATCATAGAAATTGATGCTAAGAAGAAGTGTGCCATACTTCTATTTTGTTCTTCAAATTTCGTTCTTAATGCATATCACCACTTAATGGGTGGTTGTGCAATAATTTTTTTTATCTTACAGTTTAATCGGTTTTTATTGCTGTGAACAAGAATGATGTTGTTTGATGCATAAATTAATAAGATATGGCTTTTTATTGTTAGCTATTTTACTTGCACATTTGTTACAATATATTTCTGTAACAAAAATACAAATGTGATATTACGTTGCAAAAAGAGAAAAAAAAATGTTTGAATGGAAATCCATGTGTGAGACAAGGATACAATTAAATCAGTCAAATAAAAATTGCTTTATTTTATTATAGCGATTTATTTTAGAAATGTATAGGAAATAACCTGCTTTCTGGAACACCCCTGCATTAAACAATGTAGCATTAAAGTATCTTTGGATAAAGGCGTTTACCAGCTGAAGAAATGTTAATGTAGAAGTGCACTGTACTTGCTGATTTTTTATCAGTACTCAAGTTTATGTGGTTTGACAGCTTTTTTTTTTTTTTTGAGCATTTTGTGACTTCCGTTTGTTCCTTTCTGTTAACAAAAATGTTTGACTTATTTTTTGAAGTAGATTTTTACTGTAGCTTGAAGAGTAGCGATAGTCCCTTTACTTTGTTCTG